TTAGGTATTATTATACTAGGCCATTCCTTAGTATGTGTGACATGAGTGAGTAATCAGTCATCCTAACCCCAAAATATTTCCCTTCCCAGTCTACTTTATCCCCAAAATTTCACCACTGAAAAATCCTTAAGACATTTTTAAAGTCCAGAAATACCTTTTTAATATTAAATTATTCTGACAGGCAACCCATTAAGTCTATTTAATTAGCAAGACTCTGGAGAATTTAGCCTTTTTTTTTTTTTTTAGCTGCACAGTCAAGGGAATTTAGGGTTGGAATGACACAGGCCTGAGCAGAAATTCAAGAGCTGTCATTTCCTAGCACCATGAACCTGGGCAAGTCACTTAACCTCTAAGAGGCTCAGCTCTATCACTTTATCTACATGGGGCCTGATACTTGGGTAGTACTCAATAAGAAAATTTCCTTTCTCATAGGCTGGTTTGTCAGGGAGAGCAAGTCAGGACAGAATGTCTACCCAAGGCTGAGAAGACAGAGGCGAAACCAGGATACATCCTGGAGAGGGCAGCTTCAGGAATGAGTCCTGGGGTCTGGGGTGGGGTGGGAGATGTTTTTGATGTCGTTTAATGGGTGGTAGTGGGAACAAGGAGAGTACTGGTCACTTGGAAAAGAGGACTGTAGAGAGGAGGCAAGAGCCACAGAAAGGAGGGAAAGCTATAGAAGGGGCTAGCAAGGGCCATCTTCTGCTTGCTCCACTCATCTGCGGATCACCAGGTCTATCCACAGTTTTACAAATTTCACTCCAGTTCTGCCCTAACTTGGTTACATATCAGGTCCTTTCACTCATTGTCTCAAAAATGACATCTTGAGATCTTTGCCTGTGGGGTTAATGAGTAATCAGGAGGTATCATGTAAATCTCCACTTCACTAAAGAACAAGTTAAACAGTTGCTTCAAATCCTTTCTTGTAGAGGAATGGGGGTAAGAATACTAGGTGAATATATAAAGAAAAGCATGAACCAATGACCCTGGTAATGGTTCCAGAGACCAAGAGAGCTTATTCTGGGGGTAAGAATAAAAGTTTCCATGTCTTATTTAACCTTGGATGAACCCAGGTTTCTGTATTCCACATCCACTGGACAGATGCCTTGTGGCTAGACATCTTTTTGAACCCCTAAATTGAAGCACTGGATTTCCCAATGACATGTGAATTTTATCTATGTAGGTATTCTGATGAAGTTTCACTTTCTTCAAAAGGATGAAGCTTAAATGAAAGAGGATGAACCCAGAACATATACAGGGTGAAAATACACTCAGTGAAGGAGCTAGGTCTCAGCCATGATCAGTCTATCTGGAGCTTCCTGTTAAGCACCAAAGTGATGCAACAGGACAAAGAAAAACTGTACCCACAATAAAAGTGGGACCCCTGTGAAAAGTAAGATGGAGCCCATACTGAATTAGCAAAAGACTTGATGTTTCCCTCCACCTTTACCTCCTTCTATTTCTATCCAGGAGAAACACAAATGATGAACATGGGACCTTAAGTCGTCAAGAAATTGTAAGATTAGGAAAGGAAGCTGTAATTGTTTAGAATCTACTATGTGCTAGGGATTTTATGTGCACTGACTCATGTAATAGATGAGATGAGAACACAATGAAGCAGAATCCTTTTCTCCACTTTCCAGGCCAAAGAAGCAGAGGTTCAGCTTGGCTCAACTGCATATCAGTTAAGTGACAGGAATAAGATTCAAACTGAGTTCTGATGACTCCAAAGAATGGGGTAGGGTTAGGATGGTCTTTAGGCTTTGGAGGCCTTGTTTACTGGTGGCACAGGCTTAGTTCCAGGCTGTAGGAAGAGAAGTAAATAAACTGGTAAATCTTTCTGTATAATTTTCCAAGGGTTGAAATGCAGGCAGGAGAGCTGGCCCCAGTGGCTCACAACTACAATCCCAGAAACTCAGGAGGCTAAGGCAGGAAGATGGCTTTAGACCAGCTTAGGCAACATACCGTCTCTAAAAATACACACTATCTCTTAAAAAAATAAAACCTTTAAAATTAGTCAGGACTGGTGGTGCACACCTATATTCCCAGCTACTCTGGAGGCTGAGGGGGGAAGATCACTTGAGCTCAGGAGTTTGAGGCTACAGTGAGCTATGATCATGCCACTGCACTCTAGCCTGGGCGACAGATTGAAACCCTAACTCTTAAAAGAAAGAAAGAAAAAAAGAAATGGAGGCAGGAAAGGCCAAACTCTTCAGAAAGCAAGGCAACGCATTCTGGCTTTTTTAATTTTTGTTTTTGAGAAACGTCACATGAGGTTGGATGGAGAAGTGCTCTAAGAACATCTATTCAAAATGACTATGAAGAGGTTCTATCTAGCATACAGTTTTCAGGGAGTAGATATGAGGGCACAATGGGTTTGGGGACAATGAATGTATATTCTCAGGCTTACTAATAGATGAGACCATGGTAGATATTCCCTCGAGCTTCCAGAAAGCATCCAACAAGTTACTGCCTTCATGCCACTGTAAACTAGCATTTGAGTAAGGGGTGGTCCACATCCTACTTAACGGGGTAAGGAGCAGCATTTCATTTGCAGGCCACTAAGGGTTGTTCGCAATGCAACAGAAGCCACTTCTTATCCTTGATGGGGCAGCCAATATGTAATGTTTCACACATGTCATTTTCCAACTTCATCTTCTTCCATCCTTCCGTAGTATCTCTTAGGGAAGATCTCAGAGAAATAACTGTGTATATACCAGTTTCAAAAACCCTCAAGATGAAGAGCATGGAGCTCTGCATTCAGCTACCTGGGCATGTCAAAAGCAGATAATGCAATAAGCCAATATTTAGTATATGGCCCTACATGGACATGGTACCTTCACAGCTCTTATCTGATTGAAATGTATAGACGTGGATAGGAAATGACATGATTACTAATTTTCTGAGAGGAAAAAGGGGAAATCCAGTATAGTGACTGGGTGAAAAGTTAGTAATAAAAGGTAAGTGACCCAGACAGGGAGTTTCCTGAGCAAGCATAACCCGGCAGTTTTTAGCCACACTTCTCTCATGGCGTTCTCTTCAAGTTAGGTTGACAGATATCTGATCCAATACTTGGCCATCTACTGAAACCACCTCTTACCATTTCACCAGGTAAGGACGTCAGCAAAAAGGCTTTTCACCACAAGTGAAAAGCCTACTTTCCAAAACAACTCCCCACACTTCAAACTAAACCAACGACTAAGTAAACCTAGATTAAATAGAGCTTTATCAGGATGGAGTTTGAGTAATCTCTGAATCAACGAAATCTGGGGAATGTGTGTACAGAATATCCATTATACAAATGTCAGACCACAAAGTCAAACTCTTTGTTGAGATACTGTTAAGGCCCTCCCTAATCCAGCCAATATAGGAGAGTGGGAGAAGCAGGGTCATGCTAGCTTCTATTCCAGAGCCTGTTTTTCCTTATGCAAAGGCCAGTAAAGCAAATTTTCTCCAGAATTATTTTAGCTGTTTCCTAAAAAGAACAAGATAGCCTTTTCTCATTAGTCTGAATAGAAAGATCCTTTTCTGAGGTGCTTTAATTGCTGTGGGTTAAGCTTCACTATCACATATCCTCACAACCATAATACAACTGGCTTCATTTGGTGCTTTTTGACTTGGTTGAGTACAAACTACAAAGTCCAAGATGAAAAAGGTCATTTATTGTCTGCCAGATGGAATGTTTCAAAATGAAATGATTTAGTCACATCATTAGGAGAAAAAGGAAGAATAAAAATGTATGCTTACATGCAGATTTAAGTATGCTCACAAAATGATCAGCATAGGGAAATATAAACAGTAGCCCAAGAGCATACAAGTTACTTGGATTGCCACAGACGTCCTTAAATGGCATCTTCTACATTTATGTTGAAACATGTGGATTGCTTTTTAATATTGCTATCGTAATAGTCTAGTACAACTGGTAGCATGAGGCTGAATATGCCTTAGAGTCAGACAGAACTGGGTCCAATAAGAGCCTGTTCACTCACTACCCATGTTTGTTTGGGGCATGTATCTTATTTCTGAAACTGCCTTATCATCATAAAATGAGGACCATATGGCCTGCTTCCTAGGTTTCTGCATAGATATAATAAGGTTACATGTAACGTATCTGGCCCTGACACATAGTACACCCTTAATATTATTCCAGTCCTCCTCCCCTTAGGTCAGATACTTTGTGTGTGCGTGCGTGTGTGTTTAGTATTGAAATTATGCCTATATGTAGAAGACAGGCAATAAATACTTATTGTCATTTACTCAATAATGGACATTGATCATTTACCTTTTACACTGTAGCTCAGAAGGTCTCAAATGCTCTTGATTCATGATGTTCTTAATGGTTCAGTCCATTTTTACAGCCCACCTCAGCTGAAAGAAATACCTAACAGTTCTGTTTATTTGTAAATTAGACCCAAAAACTTAACAAGTATTTATGTCCTAACAACTTGATTTCTGAAAAAAGAATATACATAAACTAAAAGAAAAACCATGAGTCCTATTCATTGTTAAATAATTATAAGTACTTAACAGTGAGATGCACATGCCTGTTGGGCACTAGGTAACTTCTCAAACTCTGGCATCAAGTTGGATGCCCTCACCTTCATTTCCCGCTCCACATTGATTACCACATGGTGCTGTTTTATATTACAGCAATCTACAAACACTTAGCTTCTCATAGGTATGACATCACTGAATGAAAGTTATGCATTCCAGTAGTGAAACTGTGAACTACCTTGAGCTAGTAGTTCACACGGTGTCTGACAGATGTTGAGAATTGCTGTATTTTCCTCAACTATTTAAAATATTTCCTGGCACCCCTTTGAGGTCTCTGCAATGTCCAGAGTGCCTCAGCTCACACCTTGGGAACCCAGAGGCTAATTAACCATATTGAAGGAGATTCATTTGCTATGCTACTACCAAAATATGACTTGGACAATGTTATAGATAAAGGTGAATAATAGCATGACTTTTAAATGCAGTTCTAACTCAATTTCCTATTTTGATTCCATTCTTCAGTCACTGATAATTGGCTTTTTAAAAGCTGTCCTCATAGTGTCACACGATCACCAGATAAACTCTGCAGTGAAGGTTCTTTTTATTTTTTATTACATTTCAGGTTTTGGGGTACATTTGAAGAACATGCAAGATTGTTGCATAGGTACACACATGGCAGCGTGATTTGCTGCCTTCCTCCCCTTCACCTGTATCTGGCATTTCGCCCCATGCTCTCTCTCCCCAACTCCCCACCCCCTGCTGTCCCTCGCCTATTTCCCCCAGACAGACCCCAGTGTGTGATGCTCCCCTCCCTTTGTCCATGTGTTCTCATTGTTCAACACCCCCCTATGAGTGAGAACATGCGGTGTTTGATTTTTCTGTTCTTGTGTCAGTTTGCTGAGAATGGTGGTTTCCAGGTTCATCCATGTCCCTACAAAGATCACGAACTCATCGTTTTTGATGGCTGCATAATATTCCATGGTGTGTATGTGCCACATTTTCCCTGTCCAGTCTATCGTCAATGGGCATTTGGGTTGGTTCCAGGTCTTTGCTATTGTAAACAGTGCTGCAATGAACATTCATGTGCATGGGTCCTTATAGTAGAACGATTTATAATCCTTTGGATGTATACCCAGTAAAGTGAAGGTTCTTTAGATTCAAATCTATGTTAAATTATTTCAATTTTTTGATTAAACACACACACACACACACACACACACACACACACACACAGAGTAACCCAAAGCTTACTAGGTGATCCTTCTCAGTAAAAGGGATTTGTGGGCTGTGGATCAGCTTCCTATGATTCATTTGAGATGAAGACACGACTCTCCATCCTGCAAAAAAGGGTTTGAAAAAAAAGACTGGGGGGAAACTGTCCTTTTACACATGAGAATGGCTCAACCCTCAAGAACGCTGCTTGCATGTTCACTGTTCTGCATTTAGAATCTAAGCCTAGGGAAGCAGCAGGCTTTGTCTCTGCTCTGAATCAGACTCTATCTTACGTTGTTTTAGAGCCATATCTACACAGCTGAAAGACGATTTAGACCTTGCTCAAAAGAGGGTGGTTAGAAGAGTACAGTGAGGCAGAAGACAATGCTGGTCAGTACTTAAAAATTACTCTGAGAAAATCCTGGTTTGTACTATCTGCTGATTTCTGTGTTAAAAAATACTCCCACCATGGCTGAACGAGGTCACTGAATTCAGAGTTAGGGAAAGAGGCATAAAATCAGCTCCCACAAGCTGGCTCTTGCCCTTCACTGGGCAGAAGGCTTCTCCTCTCTCCTACAGCTGCCAGCGGAATGCTCTGAATCTAGGGACATACACCGCTCAAAGGAAGATTTGTAAATGCTCACGTTTATTAGCTCCTAATTGAGGATATCTGCCAGACACAATAAATAAAGTTGAAAAAAAGAGTGCTTTGGAGAGAAAGTAGGCTAATCCTAAGCATTTTATGCAGTGGGTGAATTCTGGTCTTTTTCTCTATGTATGGGACACTACCTTGACCTTTCTGGCTGAGCCTATTAGCTCAGAAGTGGCACTCCAGCGGTCGAGTCAACAAGTATTCATCAAGCACCAACTACAGACTCAAAATTTATATTAGTTGTTTTGGAAGGTTCCAGGAGAAGACAATGTAGACTCTGTCCTGCAGAGGGCATGATGTAGGCAAGGAGAGAGGCTAATGGCACATGAAGCCAGTGCAACTGGGCTCTAGACTTTTCTCATTGAAACTTCAGAGTAAATCAAGTAACACTGTCTGTCTTCCCGGGGGTACTGTTGGCAGAGACCAGCAAGCTCTGTTGTTTCTACTGTTGGATGCGTTTATGGGCCCTACTGGCCGATTTGGCAAGCAGCTTTATATAAAACGTCTTCTGGAACCATCCCGTCCCCTGTGAGTCAGTCATCCTCAGAGTCCTAATTCTGTCCAGTTTGCATCAGGCCTCCTGATCTCTGCAGTCCAAAGCACATGATAGGGTACCGATGTTCAAGGCCCTGCTATATTTTGAAATTCAACTGGCAAAGCTATGACATTCTACCAACTATTTCCCCAAGTAGTACGCAATGCAAAGTGGCAATTTTACACCATGCTAGCCCAACATAAATTCACAGATCAGTGCACACCTTATTTGGAGTAAAGAGAAACATAATAGTTATTAAAGGCGCGATTACCTTCCCAGGGACCATGAATTTAAAATTATGCAAAATCAAAGGTCGGTCTCTAAAAGTTCACATAGTGATTTAAACGGGGGTAACAATGAATATAATACCTTCTAACATGTTAAAACTTCCACAGCAAACCTCTTACATAATGCTTTGTTGCTTCATTGATTTGATAAGCTTGGGGGGTATATTTTGCATTCACATACGACATTTTGCGTTCACATACGACATATAAAGTGTCTTGTTTGCTTACAAAAATGAAAGCTCAATAACAACAATCCTCAGGTTGCTATCATTTCTCTATCATTCATACTGAGTGCTCCATGTTGGGAACGGCGTTTGTTTTGCCCTTGGGGAATTTTCAGAGCAGTTAGTAGGTATTGGTGTCCTTTGCAGTGGTTCAAACAACATAAAACTATCATAACATATTTGAAACAAGCCAATTATTATGCCGTTTGAACATTTATGCTCCCTAAGAAATATCCTGGGTTTTACTGAAGGCCTTCTCTCTTAATAAGGTTTTTCTTTATGATATGAGGGTCCTGGCTGGAAAAGAGCTGAACTTCAGATACATGGTTTGGAGTAAGAGGAGTCTTTTCCCTCAATAGTGATTTGCACAGGAGCTAAGGAGCCTCCTAGTTGGGGAGGTGAACTTGAACTGTAGCAACAATCAAGATTCAGACATGTAGAGACAAGTATGACAGCTTGAGAAGGGCAGTGCAGGCAGAAGTCGGGAGACAGGGATGGAAACCAAGGGTCACTGCGAGAGCATCCGGCAGGGCCAAGCCAACTCAGCCACAAGCCAGCAAGGAGACGGGGAGACGCTGAAATGGGTGAGATGTTCTCCTTCAGTATGGTGGCTGGTGTTTGAACTCATTTTTCCCTCTCTTCCAGAGGCTATGTACACCTTAGGTAGAAGGGGCTACACATGTGAACTGAAAGAACTCTCTCACCAAATTCCAGAACACTTCAGGGCTCAAACTACTCTATTCAAAGTACTACCCTTCTAAATGAGCACAGAGACAGAAAACATTTTCCTCATGTCAGTATGGGCTGCTATCCTGTCATGGTAACGAACTGCTGAAGAACCTTGCTGGCTGGGGTCTTCTCATAACCATGAGAAGCAGCAATAAAGAAAAATAGGGGTAGTGTGGTCTGGGGTGACCAAGGCCCGTGCTGAAGACATTGGTAGAGCTCAGAAGAGCAAGCAGCATCCAATGGTGAGTGGAAGCCCAGATTAATTCTGAAACACGCGTAAAGCACGTCTATCTCTTTGGGAACTCAAAAAATATTGAGGTTGGGATGAGCTGCGTGAAGAACGGAGTTACCTGAACAAATGGGTGAGGGCTTGAGGCTCTGGGAGCGCTCATCTTTAATGTTAAGAAGACTCATTCATACCAAGGGCTGGGAAGGCTTGGAAATGCTTTGGTTAGGGAAACTGACATCAACCCCTCTTTTTCTTTTAATTGATATGCAGTCTTAGCCCTGTTATCATCTCTGATCTTGACCATTTCCCTGAGCCACTGGGCAACCAATGTCTCTTTCTGAACAGCTGGAAGAAATGTAAATTCACTGGTTTTCTCCAGAGCACCCAGAGGTTCCCTAATTTGCATCGTTACATGAGTGCAAAGCACGAAGCTAAAAAATGTGATTCTTAAGAAATGTCAAAGACAGCTCGTTAGATCGACTTTTTTTCTGTGTATGTGTGTTTGTTGTTTTTTTTTTAAACAGGGACCACTGTGCTTCCTTTCAAGTGACTAGAGTTGTGACAGCTGCTCTATAAGGTATTCAGTGGTAAATTAAGACACGAGTGTCATCGCCGAGCTCTTTTGTGTTTCATAGAAAGCAGTTGCTAAACAGATGAAAGTAGGTCCGAGGCAAGGGGTAGCATCACTATTATTTCAATTAATAAATAGCTCTAAAAGTGAAGGAAGTGATAAAGGCCTCAAGAGCGTCTGTATCTGCCCCGGTTCTGTCAGGAAAATTAAACAGAGCACTTGTGATTGCCATTGCTCCTGTTTAAGAGATCCAAGCTAGTAGGGTCACCTGTGCTGAGCAGGTTAGAGCCTGCCTGGTTCTTGGGGCACCCCCTAGTGACATGTTCCTAAACCCTGGCATATCCCTTTCCTTGCTACGGAAAGAAATGGTGCCGAATTCACCTTGTTCTTCCACCGCCTCATCCTCTATTCTCCCCTCTCTTCCACCAAAGAAGCCCTAAAATGTATTTTCAGATAAATATCAGGAAAGCATTTATAAATATTTCAGAGGCATTTCATAAATAAATCAGCAAATCTACAAAAAGACTTCTCTCTTTTAATGAGATCTTGGCTGTGGTATATGCCTTTTATTTGAGCATCATTAAAACCAGTTGGGAAGATTTTTATACTGGACTCTCTTTTGGGGGGCTTCATAATACATGAACAAGCCTGCTATGCGTCTGTGAAACGTGTAGCCTCTTCTTCTGACAGATTAGGCAGTCCTGGCATGAGGGAATAGCTTTTACTCTTTTTAAAGTAAATACTAATCAATAGCAACTGTACCGACAAAAACCTTCTTGCTGCCTAATTACACCACAGCTACTCATAGACCCCAACAGAATTTTCCCCTGGATGAAACAAAATTAACTATCTGAGGCTGAGCTACTGAATTATCACCATCCCTCTATTCAAATGTAATTCACGCAACACCCCAACTACCACATGTACCATTAAAGTACCATTTGTATGTGTAATTTTCAAACAGCGTCTAAAGGTCGTGTCCACATCAATGTTTTCAACACACACACATCTGCACAGGAAATCAAACTGGCAGGGAGGTGGTCCCAGCAATTCTAGGAAGTCTCTCCCTCTCTGAAATATTGTTTGTAGTTTCTCTTCTGCAGCTTAATGCCCTCTGTGGTCTGTTTGGCCGTGTCAGAAATAGCCAGATTGTATCAGAGGCAAACAAGTGATTTAAGATATTTTAGCAAGCAAATCTAGTACCCAGCTCTGGCCAATCCAGGGCTAGTTATGCAGGAATCTTGCTGATAGTTCGGACGGATATGACAGCCACTTTGGTGAGTAATAACTAATATTTGTATATATGTATTTTGAGAAGGAGTCTTGCTCTGTCACCAGGCTGGAGGGCAGAGGGTGCAATCTCGGCTCACCGCAACTTCACCCTCCCAGGTTCAAGCAAGTCTCCTGCCTCAGCCTCCCGAATAGCTGGGACTATAGGCATGTGCCACCATGCCCAGCTAATTTTTTTGTGTTTTTAGTAAAGACAGGGTTTCGCCATGTTGGTCAGGATGGTCTCAATGTCTTGACCTTCTGATCTGTACGCCTCAGCCTCCCAAAGTGTTGGGATTACAGGTGTGAGCCACTGTGCCCGGCCAATAATAACTAATACTTTTATTGCACATTAGGATTATAAAAAAACTTGTATGTCCATTTTTTGAACTCATGATTATTATTGGCAATTATAGTAAAAGCAGGGGCTGTATACTGAGCATTTGTGATAAGAGCTTTATATATACAGTTTGTCAATTAATCTTCG